AAGTGGAGAAGAAGATGGGAAGATTCCCTTTTTAGCATAAGAGGTGTAATGCCATAACTGTTTTCAATCTTGTGGGTCTCACGACGATGTGAGGTTGTTTGACCCTTTATGTGGAACAATCATACGTGTGTGTGTGATATGTGAGAAGGACACATGTACTCAGGGACCAAGTGCTCTCAGGTGATAAGTGTTCTTGGTCTTGCCAGACAGCCATTTGAGATGACCAGGCAAGACTATTCGACTGGTCCAGAATAATGTTAACTTAATTACTTATTATTTTTCTAAATGGATGTTGTGATAGGTTATTTTGAAAAAAATAACTATTTTTCTTAAAAAAATTCTTACAAAAAATTTTAAGCAGTGTTTTAAAACTTGGACCGGTCACTGAACCGGTCGAGGTACTGGGTCACTGGTTCAACCAGGTTGAACCGAATTTACTGTTCACATATTAAAAATATAAAAATATTACTTATATTAATAAAAATTCACATAAGAAAACTATCAATGAGCTTCAAAAAATAAATTGATTTTCAATTATAGCAAATATTATATACTTCTAAGCTTCTAGCTCTAGACTATATCCTAATATTAGATTAAAATTACAATATAAGTTAAATGCACATTTTGTGCTTGACATGATATGGATAAATTAAATCATGATAACAAATAGTATGCATGAAATATACACTAAGAAAAAAGTGTCACCGTTATTATGATAACAAATAGTATGCATGAAATATACACTAAAAAAAGTGTCCACCGTTGAGATGAGACCATCAATGTTTATCACCACTTAACTTCATGAGATCATTATAAGATGCAACTAAATTATATAAACGAACTGCACTAATCTAAAATACCTTATTATTTTCACCTTACTTGTAGTCGTATTCATCTTAAAATATGAATATGATTTAATTCAAGAGTTCTTATCAACAACAAAAAAAGAAAAAAAAGGAATAACCGGTCTAACCCGAGTCAACTGGGTTTCGGCTGGGTCAACCGGTCCAATTCGGGTTGACTGCAGAAGCGGTCCAACTACCCGCTCGGACCGGGGAACCCACCAGGTCACTGAGTCTCGAGTCGACCCGGCCGGTCCGAGCTAGGTTTTAAAACACTGATTTTAAGTGATATATTTTTTAAATAAACTAATCTAAATACGTTATTATTTATGTCTTTAAACTTACTTTTCTATGGGATCATTATGTACTGACGTGTTCATTTTTATTTTTTTGGGTAATTTTTCTTTTCTTTTTAATTTATAGTCTCTGCGAGCTTGTTGTTTTGGTTATATAGCTTAGAAAATATTGTGGTCAATTAAGCATTTTCCCACTTTTATGTTATTTTTTTCTTATCATAAATATGTTTCATATATTTTTGTCATTTATTTTAATTTTTCTAATATTAATTTTGGATGTTGACTATATGAAATAGTTAGAATTAAAATTAATAATGGATTAAGTTTAATTAAATTTCAAAATCTAATTAAAGAAAATAATGTGACTAAAGTCATTATAAGGAATATATACTACCGGTTTGAGACTATAATATAAATATTTTTACAAACAACGTATCAAATTTAAACCTTTTTCTATTGTTCGAATGACCATCTCTTTTTATATTTGTATTAGAAAGTTCATGTAACTCTCAATTACAATGTATCATTCAAATTATTTTCGAGCCTTATTAAACTAACTAAACTACTTGGGCCTATTTGCTGCTAATATATTTGGGTTATATTATTCTCTTGTAGTAAGAGAGTAATTTTTTTTTTTCCTAACATACTCATGAATTCCCGTGCTTTCTTTTAAATAATAAGGGAAATAATTATCTCATGCAACAGAGATAAAATAGTAGGTTCCACTATTTTATTTTTTATTTTTATTTTTGAAAAAGTAGTGAACCCCACAATCTTATTTCTGTTGCATGAGTTAATTATTTCATGCAACATGAGATTAATAGATCCCTAATAATAAATGGTAGATCCTACCATATGATTATATCTACAGTAAGAGACAATTACTCTTCTAGCATGAGAGTAATATAGCGCTATTTATAAACCAAGTTATTGAATCTCTACATGCATTTCTCACCACAAGAAAAAAAAATTGCTGACAAACTTTTGCGATGAATAAAATTGTAATCACAAGAAAGAAAATTCTTGATGAAAAGTGAGAGAGAGTCTTGTTGTAAACTTTTTCTTTTTTATGTTGTTTCAGTTATAATTTGGCGATGGAATGCATATTGTAGCACAAGTTTAAATAGGAATTTTCTACATTAAATGTTCGGTTTAATGATTCTTCTACAAATAAGAGATAATTTATTTCCTACATACATATGAAAATAAATAATTTTTTTTCTCTTCTCCTCATAAGCCCGCTCCCACTTTCATTTGTGCTTAGGAGAAACATTAACCCTTTTAATATTAAGATAAAAATTGCAACAAAAATAAATAAATTTAATTTTCATAATTAGAAATTGGGTTAAAGAGGTATTTTAAATTTGTAATCAGTATTTTTGTCCCAATTTAATATATTTGTTAAATTATGCATTAAAATAAGCATTACAGTATTTTCTTTTGTTAAAAAAATAAGTAACTAAAAGGAATTATTTTAATGAAAATTTTCTAAAAAAGAAACTATTAAATACCCCAATATTTATTAACATAATTTTGTGATTTTTAAACTAATAAATAAAAATCATGTAAGAATGATTAAATAAAGAAGCTTATTTTAGTTTACCAAAAAAAAGAAAAAGAAGAAGCTTATTTTAATATTTATTCAAATTAATAAATATAATATTTTACTCAATTAAAATAATGAATTATTTTTAAAGCAATACATAAATTTAAAAGCAAAGTAATGTAATACATACAATAATTTCATTTAATATAAATTTTTCAGATTTGTTAACTGAAGGAATAAAATAAATTATAAATACATTTTTTAAAAATATGAAATTTAATATAAATTTTTCAGATTTGTTAACTGAAGGAATAAAATAAATTATAATTACATTTTTTAAAAATATGAAATAAAAATAAATCTCTCAATATTTTAACAAAGTAATTTAATAATGAATTAATAAAAAATAAAAATTAATTCAGTAAAATAAATTAGTCTAATGTTTATTTAAATTAATAATGAATACATTTACCAAAAAAAAAAATTAAAAATGAATACAAGATTGAATTCAAATAAAAATCTTATTTTTTTTTTTGGTTTCCCAAGGTATCCTCCAGGCTCCAGCCGACAGCCGAAGATTAATCCTTTCGAGGCGGGAGATCACATTAAGTGGGTAAACCTCTCCCAACAAAGCTTTTTCCATACGCACGACCAGGAATCGAACCACTATCAGCATGCTTAAAGAACCCAGCTATCTATTTAATTTAACCTTTAATGTTATAAACAAAACTTATTTCAAAACAATGCATTAAAAAAAAAGATGGTTCGTTTTTTCTGCAGTTAATGCAGATAAATTATCTGTATTGAGCCCAAAACAACATCATTTTGGTACGAAAATCAAGATGTTTTTGTAATTTTAATTTATTTCAGGGTTATAAAAGTGTTTATAATTATAATTTTTTAATATTTCAACACTAAAACAATGTCAATTTGAGAATAAATGCAGATAATTTAACTGCAGTAACTGCGAAAACATTTTTTCTGAGAAAAGATTAGTGTTTCAGAGATGATTTTATCTTTTACACGTATATAAAAGTGTATGGGACCAATATGGATCCCATATATTTTTTTGTGTATATAGGAGATAATTTTATCTCTTATAATATAAAAAACATTAATTAATATTTTTCCTGTAACATGAGATAAACTTATCTCATACAATCCAAAATAATGTCGTTTTTAGATTTTGAAAAAATAAATAAATGGTATTTTAATATAGGGATTACTGTTTCTCATATTATAAGAAATAACTTTATCTCTTATACATGCATAAAAATATGTAGGGACCATATTTTTTTCTTTCTTTTCTTTTCATATGTCTCACACACTTTTATATGTATAGAAAATAAATTCATCTCTTACAACATAAGAAATATTAATTCCTTTAATAAAGGATTTATTGTTTATCATATTATAGGAGATAAATCTATCTTCTACACAAACATAAAAGTATGTGGAGACCCATATTTTTTATTTCTCTCTCTTCTATGCATATGAGTCTCACACACTTTTATATATATATATATATATATATATATATATATATATATATATATATATATATAAGATATAAATTTATCTTCTATAACATAGAAATATTAAAGACTTAATAAAATTATTAAAATACCTTAAAAAATGTTATACTTAACCTCCAAAAAAAAAATGTTATACTTACTACTTATTTTTCTTACTATCTCTTACTACTAAATCTTAACTATTGATTTCCTAACAGTTATAATTTATTGCAAATTAATAATTAATTAATAAATATGACCCCATAAATTATAACCGTTTGATTGACGGAAATCAACGGTTAAGATTTGACAGTAACAAGTAGTAAGAAAAATAAGTAATAACTATAACCTCTCCTAAATACTTTTTTTTTTTTTCCAGAGCCCCCAAAATTGACATAAATTTGAAATTTTACGAGACTAAGTTTATCTCATGCATAGAAACGATTTTTCCTATGTAAAATGACGAAAAATACTACTTTCAATTTACGTGAGGTAATTATCTTACGTTATATCGCTTTCAAACTTTCATCCACTCTTTTTTTTTATCCTTTAATAATGATTACTCTAAAGGGCCGTTTGGTACACGGATTTTTTTTGGATTTCTGGAAAATTGAATTTTTTTAAATTTTAAATTTTCAAATATTATCGTAAATTGAATATAAAAATTATATTTTTGAAAATCGAGATTTACGGACAAATAAAAATTTCTCCTATACCACACGCCCCCGAAACAAAAACAAAATGAGAGTAACATTCCCCAAAATGATTTAATACAATGGGTAATCACCCGCTCCGTGGTGGATCCACGCAGATGCGAAAATCTTTACGTCCATAATTGTGTTCTTCTTAATATCGTTGAGCACACCGTCTTCTCAAAAGAACATCCACATTTTCAGAGTGTTAGCATCGGCGCCTCTGCTTCTACTTAATCACTATAAAGGTTAGGAGTTTGTCTTTTTTCAATTTCATTTCCACTATAAATGGTTCTACACAGAGAGAGAGAGAGAGAGAGAGAGAGAGAGAGAGAGAGAGAGAGAGAGAGAGAGAGAGAGAGAGAGAGAGAGAGAGAGAGAGAGAGGAATAGTTTGGTTTGTTTGTGTTGGTTTGAGGTGAATGTAGTAGCTTAACTTTCGTGGACAAATTGGGGATAAAAAGATAGAAGGGGATGTAATGCTAAGATGAACAAGGGAAAGCAGGAACCCTAGCTTTCAAACGAGGATAGAAAACGGTCATTTATAAAATGTTTATGTCGAATCTTGTCTTGCATTTTAACTGTAAGTCCATAAGCCAAAGCCAACGTTAGTAATTACAATTAATCAACTTTATCTTTGATTTATTCTTTTTTTTATTGGAAAGATTACAAACGATTCATAGCTTCGATACTAATCGGGGGCAGATTCCGGAATTAAGGCTTTAAATCCCTCCCAAAGATGGTATTGAGGAGGCTCAAACACATATCCTCACCCCCCACATGCTCAGATTCCTAGATTCCTAGCGCCAACTAAGCTATCACCATTTGGTTTTTTTTTTTTATATTCTTTAATTGTAGTTATGCTATATATTGGAATAATGGGATTTATCAGAACTCTTCAACTTAACTATTATCAGTTTTTTTGAACCAATTGTCACTTTTTGGGACTTGGGACAGTGGGGGAGATTGTTGAACATGCTTTTCTTTAAAGTTGAACTGGAAATGAAATATTTCTTTAATGTACATTTTTTCAACTATAACTGTTGTAGAAAACCTGCAAGCTGGTATGAGTTTCCCTTCTTAGTTGCACTTGCTGCCACTAATAGCACCCAATAGTCTCATGTCTTATGTTTCGCACCTTGTGGATCATGTAATTGCGTGTCAAATATTCCAACTAGTCTTCTCCCCATGCGAATATATCCTTTAAAATCAATAGCCTAATGACATTGCTGCTCAATTATTCTCAACTGTAATGAAATAATTAAGAGACTGTGGTGCATGGTTGACATACAGTGTGCAGTAGTCTCCCTAGTGATTATGGTTAAATTAGTAAACAAAATTCCAAAATCTGCTTCATAATGTATGTAAATGGGTGTCAAATGCTTGTAATTTTGAGCATATTCCCATATCCTGTCTCTTCTTTTCTAGCTCATATGTTAATCTAGCTTTCTGATTTTACAATGCTATATGTTTCAGTTTGCTGCATTATTGTTTTTTATCACAGTAGGATGAAAAACATCTATTGGTGAAAAACGAAAATTCAGCCCTTCAAAGAAAGACTAAAGAATTTCAGAGGAACTTATTGCACGTGATTGTCATTTACATATTTGCTTCTGACACTTGAATCACATGTGTGAGCTTCACCTTCCATCTGCTTTTATTTTGGTGACTGTTCTGTTTCTGATCACTCTTCATAGTCATTGATTCTCAGGCAATGGACAAAAGGACTGAACTTGGTGCCGGTGCATCATCATCACCTTCTACTGGAACCGGATCCAGGTTCTCCAATTTGAACAAGTCCTTCAAGTTTGCTCTCCGTTCTTTGCTCACTTCATGCTCAAAGGAGGTACACTCCATTGTTCTTTCTTATCTCTCTTCTCATGGCTGCTTTTAATTTTGGATTCACGGAAAAACTGAGTGGGGGAACAATAGTTATGTAAAAAATTTTAACTTTTTATCTCTGCATGCTGTTGCCAATAATTTTTTTTAATAACTGTGAGTTGAGGAACTGAATATCTCTATCATTCTAAGTTTTTAAGTTAATAAATAGAACTATAGAAGCATACTTTGTAATTTATTTCTTTTCATTAGAAATGCCAACAACTGATTTGTATTTCATGCTCATATTCTTATAACATTATTATTATTGTAATCTTAAGCACTTTGACGGGGAAGGGGAGGGACTACTACTATTCAACCCAAGGGGAATTGAGAAATGGGGATATGGGTAATCAAATTCCCCATCATATAACCACAGCTCCCTGGTAAAGACCGGGATCAAGTGATCAACCGGTATTGTCTTTTTTTCCCCCCATGTATTGGTCCCCTTCAAATTTGTAGATAGACACATGCACTATCTCTGTTCCTAGTGTGCCACACCCTCCTTATGCATTAATCTTATAATTATAATGTGGAGTAGTTGGTGAGGAGTTCAGATTGTTGCTTTTTCAATAAACTAGATGACATTAGCAATTATAAAGCTAGGCCAAAAGAAGCAATTGAAGATAGGAAGAGATTGGAATTTTGAATACAAAATGAGGAATGTCTTGAATAATACCAGCCGACTCATGTATTAAAGATGACAACTTGGTAATTCACATCTCAATTGTGCAGTATCACTCCGTGTACTTTTTAATTGTAGAAGATATTACCCAGATTTATGTAACTAGTTCAGACTGGATGCTTTTGCTCTAAAAAGACAGCCTTGACATATCTACACTGCGATACTGGCTTTATAGGAAATAATGGTTGAGTTATCTTTCACCCATTTTGAGATAGCAAACCTCATTTTCTTATGGATCGAGTTTGACTGCTCAACTACAAGTCTGAAATTATGTTAATATTTTGCAATTAACAAATAGACACATTTTCAGTTAGATTCAACCTTTAAATGGCTATGTATTGATACCATGTTTATGTTTTGATTTTAAAAGGAATTTTATAAAGCATTTTCAAGTTTCACCAACACTGAAAAAGAATTGCTTCATCTGCTATTTCTTCAGGTATGATCTCTTGATATTAATTTTTCATATTAGAAATATATTTCTGAATGTTGAGTTTTAGCAAAAAAGAAAAAGAAAAAAAATATTCCAGTAAGTTTGACCTATATCCAGTTTTCTAAATCAACTATGTGTTTTGAAATCAGGGCAGTGATACCCCTGATATTAATGATTTGCTTTACACTGATTCTCATGTGGGAGCTTTTACTGATGATCTATGTCAATGTTAATCTTGAAAATTTTGTGGTCCTCCGTTGTAGTTAGAAATTATACATTTATATTCCTCAACAACTTAACACTAAATAGGTTCTAAGGTGGTGTTGATGATTGATTATATCAACAGGAGGTCAAGTTAAAGAAACCGTCTTTACATATGAATTAAATAAAATGAACAAGGCATTAACTGTGATTACTTAGGAACATCTATTTTGATACGAAATTTAAGCTGTTTAAAGACATTTGTTGGTATCAAGCCTCTCCCTTTTAACTTGTCAAGAAAACTATATCACGAGCCAACTATTCCAAAATTTTAAGCTGTTGGGTGAGGACATGTGAATGGTTTTCTATCTAATACGTCCCCTCACTCAAAAGTCCTTTGGGTTTGAAGTGCATACAATGCATAAGACCACCTTATCTAGTACTGAAATTTAACTTATATTCAGAAGAATAGAGGCTCTAATACCAACTCGAGGATGGTATTATAATACAAGATTACACAATCAAATCCCTAAATCATTGGGATTTATACACCTATTTACAGCATCTATTGTCCTAATTACAAAAGGAATCAATGAGTATTACTAGCAAATCAAGCTATATCAACACTGTGTATCATTCCTCTTATCTCAGCTGAATACGTATACATTCCTTTCTTCTATATTTCTGTTAAGAACCTTGAGGTCACCACCCCAAAAGCTAGCTCAAAGGGTGGGAGTGCCCAAGTCCTTATAAACTCCACATTAGTTGCACATACAATCAATGTGAGACTATATATCTCAACACGCCCCCTCACACGAGAGCCCTTTGGGCTTGAAGCGTGGACAATGCAACAGGTCCAGCCTACCTGTGCTAAGAAACTCCACAAGAGAAAGTGGGGGGCGGCGAGGCTCTGATACCATGTTAAGAACCTTGAGGTCACCACCCCAAAAGCTAGCTCAAAGGGTGGGAGTGCCCAAGTCCTTATAAACTCCACATTAGTTGCACATACAACCAATGTAGGACTATATATCTCAACAATTTCAAAGGCTAGGTGTCAAGAAATGCTTCAAGTTTCTTTTAGTTGTTTGCTAATTTCCTTTTATGTATCAAACCTTTCAGGTCGTTACTTCTTTGCACGAAAATATAGAGGTACGTTTGTTATAACTGTTGATGTCGGTAATGTCAGATATAGAATCCATTCCATTTCTAGATGCATCTCACAACAATTGAGGATGTTATCTAAATAGTACTTTTGATGTTTTTACTTTCAGTTCCTTTTTCTTAAGCTAAAAAGCCTGATGCCAATTTCACCATTTCAGATACTTTGTACCCACCTCTGTTTTCTATGGTTTAGTAAACTAAATTATATTCTTGAAATGTGTTAGGGACCAAATATTAAATACATGCAATGGAAGTTCATAAGAATACCTTAACCTAATTCAGTTTATTCCTTTAGGAACTTCGGGGCCTGTTTGTTGGACATTTTAGATATAGAGGAATATTTTTTTAAAGCAAACTGTTTTGGGTAGTTCTATTATTTCCAAACTAAAACTGAAATGGTTTCTTTTTGAAAATCATTCTGAATAGTTATGCAATGTTTGTTTAATATTTTTCTTTTGTTTTCTTTTCTTTTTTTCTCAAATGATGAGCTCTTGAATACTGTGCAATTTTATTATCTTTCTTTATCTTCTCTCCCTCTCTCTCTCTCTCTCTCACACACACACACATGCTCACACACAGGAACAGAGACAAACAGATAGAAAACACTAACTTAATTGCTTATCTCCCGTAACTATATTTATATACACATTAGAAGAATTTTAGCACCTAAGAATGTTATTATTATGATAAAAAAGTGTAAATTCTAAATGCACTGTCAATTTTTACAGGATGAGTTTGAAGCAATCTGTCTTCAAACACAGGTATCACTTCACTATTGTCTCTGTCGTTTTATTCTAACATTTCAAACTTTTTTTGAAGACTTTTGTATCTAGGTTGCTCAACCTTGACATAGTGCAATTAACTTAAAGGGAGAATTTTTTGTTGTTTTATTGTATATGGATCTTTAGATTGTATTATAAAAGCATGAGCTACAAATACACCATGAATTTCTTGCGGGATATACAGGTCGAAAGCAAGCCCTGAAAGTATGGGATACACAATTGGAAGCTGAAATAATAGGGGATATACAGCATCTGAAAAATATTAGGGATTCTTGTCAACTTTTTACTTTATTCCAAACTAGTTGGGGTCGGCGGTCAATGAACAAAAAAAAAAAAAAAACAGATTGCAGATGAAAAATAAATAAATATAGGGAAAAAGGACTGTCTGGAACATTAAAAAAAAAAAAATCTACCCCTCCACAATGCTAGTGGGTTTTCTCCATTTCGTCGACAGACCGTACGTCAATCTATTTCCTACTTTATTAAGTCTATTTTTTTTACTTTCCCCCAAGTATATTTTGGTCATCTCTTCCTTTCTTTGTGCCATGTTCTTGGTAACAAATTTTTGTTGTTATTGGAATATCTAGGGGTTTTCGAAGAATATGCCCAAACCATTTCAATCTATGTTTCTCTCATCTTTTCTTCAATTGTATTTATCTAAAATATCTTCATTTCTTACCTTATTCATCCCTGTATGATCACATATCCACCTTAATTTCTCATTTCAGCTACTCCTAATCTATGCTCATTTTCTTTTGTATTGATCGACACTTTACTTCTTATAGCATTACAGGCCTTACCGATGTTTATAAAATTTTCCTTTTAGCCTAAGATGGGTTTTGCGCACACAAAAACATGATAAACTATGTCATTTCATCTAACTTGTTCTGATTCTATGGCTTACATTTCACAATCTCTCCCCTTTTTTTCCAATGTTGATCCCAAATATCTAAATGCAGTTTTCTTGGCTACCTCTTGTCCTAGCATATTCACTGTTTCTTGACCTCTTTCTCTTGTTGTGGCGAACTCACACTTCACGTATTCTGTCTTACTTCGACTTAACATAAATCCTTTAGGCTCCAATGATCTTCTCCATAACTCTAGTTTAGTGTTATCATCAGCCTTGATCCCATCAATAAGCACAATATTATTTACAAATAACATACACCCTGCCGCCTCGTGTTTGATATTTTTGTTAGCTCATCCATAACTAGGGCTAAAAGATAAGGACTCCAAGCAAACCCTTGGCTAAACCTATTGTGATTGGAAAGTATCTTGATGTGTCATTGCAAGCCTTTACACGTGTAGTAACACCATCATACATGTCCTTGATTGTCTCTACATACTTTGAAGGTACTTTTTTTTTTTCTAGAGAACCCACCACATAACCTTTCTTGAGACTCTATCATACGTTGTCTTGAGATCAATAAACTATCATATCAAGAAGATAGCCTCCATGGTAGGTCTTCTCAGCATAAATCCAAATTGATTTACAGAGAGACCTTGGTTTTTATTCTTAATCGATGCTCAAAAACTCTCTACCACAACTTCATTGTATGACTCATAAGCTTAATACCTCTATAGTTGGAATAGTTCTAGATACCCACCTTGTTCTTGTAGATAGGCAGAAGCGTAGTCTTCATTCATTAGACATCTTATTAGTTTAGAGAATCTTGTTAAAAAGATTGGTCAACCAACTTATTGTCATATCCCATAAGCACCTCCACACTCCATTAGGTCCCAAAGCTTTACTAATCTTCATCTGCTTTAATGCCTCCTTAATTTCATGCGCTCTAATTCTATGCACAAACCTTCTGTTTAAGTCATCAAATGTGTTCTCTAAACCCACCTCACTTCCGTTGTTCTCCCCATTAAAAGCTTGTTAAAATAGTTCGTCATCCTTCTTTAACTTTAGCATCTCTTATTAGAAGTTTTTTATTTTCATCCTTAATGCATCTAACTCGGGTCGGGTCTTTACTTTTCTTGTCCCTTATCTTTAAAACCTATAGAGACATTTTCTCCTTCTTTGCTCCCAAGTATTTTGTATATATCGAAGAAAACTTTGCTTCTAACCTCTTGCATTGCTTTCTTGGCATTTTTTCTAGCCAATCTAAACTTTTGTAAATTCGCTTCGTTAGGACATTTATGCAAACAGTTGAGATATTTTCTTTTTTGTTTGACTTCCTTCTGCACCTCTTCATTACACCACCAAGTTTTTTTTCTTTGATGTTTGTTCCCTTTACTTTTCCTTAATACCCCTGTTGCCACTCGCTCGATACAATTAGACATTTCGTTCCACATCATATTTGCTTCTCTATGTAGTTGTCACGGTCCTTCTTGAAGCACTTTTTCCATAAAATTTGTTAATTTTTCGTCATATAACTTCCACCATCATATTATGGAGTTCTGAGTTATGATTAAGATTAGTGGAAATCAAAGGGGCAACTTAAAAAATTTCAGTATAATGCTTTAATTTGAATAAGGTTCCTCTGAAGTGAGTTTTTTTTTTTAAAGTGAGTAATTAAAGGTGTATCATTCATCCCTTGATTCGATCTAAAATGAATTATGATCTTAACCCTCTAAAATTTAAAGGTGGATACACTTTTACTTTCTCACTTTAGATATGAACTCACTTTAATGGAGCTCTTATCCTATTATTCATACTTGAATAAACCATTGGAATTGTGGAAAATACAATTAAAATAATATGGACATGTTATTGCAGTTTGGAATTATACATTTTTCTTAATCAAATTCTTACAATATATGGAATCAAATGAAATTAATAATTTAGGAGAATCTCATCTTATTCTTGTGCTTGTTTTCAAGAATACTTTTATAATTAAAGTTGCAAACATTCAAATACCACTCACTCACTGGTAATAGTTGAAATAATTAATACTAAAATAAACAAATAAAACAATTGATCAAAATGAATAGAAATTTTTGTTATTTTAATTAAATCTGCCCATAACTCAATTTGAAAATTCCAATTAAGAAATTTTAGAACTTGCTGAGTTGGTTAAGCAATCAAACCTTTTTAACTCTATTTGAGTTTTAACGACCAGTTCTCTACAAGTTAAGCTTTTGCTTTGGAGATATTCTTTTTAAAATCTTTTGCAGTTCCTACGGAGTCATAGGACCATTCACAGTTACACCCACATCCTTTAACTCAAATGAAAGTATTGAACACTTTTTTATAACTTAACAGAGGCCAGAGAGGGGGAGGCCTGGGTAGGGAAAGTTGTCAGCAGGCCAACAAGAAATTTTAGATTTGCATCATGGCAGATGGCACATTTGGGATTTGGATATAAGAATTATTGTTACATGATTGGCAGGGATTAGGTTTGGAAACAAGTATGTAGTTTCTCCATTTTCTTTTTTCGCCTTGACATCTGCATTAGATGTGAAATATGCAGGCTATGATGCTCTTACGGTCTTACTCTCTGCATAAGACATACAGGCAGCAGTTGCAATTCTACTGTATCCTAGTTAGTCTGTCATTTGAAGCTCATCTTTCATGTAGGTTGGAGCCACTCTTGATGCTGTAGAGGAAATTGTGGAAGAGCAAGATCTTGATCTCTTGGTTTCAAATAGGTATTATATGATTTTGCCAAAGAGCATTTTAAATAGTCTATTATAGGATGTGAGATAGTTATATTAAAAAAGAAAATCCTTCATGTTGGCCTTCAAAGTAACACTTAATGAAGCTTACGGTTGCCTTTGATGTATATTAAGGACAGTACTAACAAAACAGTACAGCACAAATGATTGAGTCACGGGACAATCATAGGACTAAAACATTTGTGATATCTATGGATATAATAGAACAAAATTTATTATAACGCCCTTTATGTTGTGCGTTGTTTTGCGTATAATAAAGTTTGGATAATGAAGGGGTAGGGGTTATTTGTCTTTTCTTCTCTTTATTCTGCGGACAATATTTTGTAACCTAGTTTAATGGGTAACAAAAATTTCGAGATTTGTGTTGTCCCTTGAGTTGCTTTTTGTTCGATACTTATACTATTCTAACAATCAGACAAAGTACAACTTTTTTTATGCTGTGTTGTTCCTTATATTCTAGCAAATTATACGACCCTAGGTCTTAAACCTCATGAGGTTCACTTTCGTTAGTCTCTTTTTTATCTATGTTGATAGAGGTTTGCCTTCAGATTAAACTTTGGAACCTATGATGATTATTTCATAACACTATTTATTCAATTTGCCTGCTTATGGTGGTATTTATTGGTAATTGCAATTACGATATGTTGATTATTTGAACTCAATAGAGAAGCATTGATACAACTGCAGGAGTAATATAATGGATGTTGCTGAGAATCTGTCTACAGCAAAGAAGAATGAAATCCAACACTTAATGCATATGGTGCAATTGGTAGGTGTACTACTACTACCTTAGTGCATCCTGATCAAATTATGCTAAAAGTGGACTAGAAAACAAATACTTTCTTACTCATTGGTTGAAGGGATTGTACGTTTTGAGTCTTTTTACACATTTTCATACTCCTTTTCCTTTTTGGTTATCCTGTCTTAACCCACATAAAAGGACAAAATACTCTTTCCTCTCAGTGGTTGTTTCACTATTTTCATATTATCTCCTCTCTCCAATGGGGGATTTATTCTATTACTCTCAAATTGGAATAGCCATATTTTACCGTCCTCGGATTTATGGACTCCAGAAAAAAGTATTCACTTTGCTATGGTCCATGTCGAGCTATTTCTTGCAGCATAACAGTGCTGGTCTTTGTTCACAACCCCTCTACATACAACACGTGTTGAAAGGCTTGTGAATATAAATCACTTTATTATGCACTACAAATTGAAATCATATACAAATGTATATTTAGCTGAAATGGTGATGTCTTGAACTCGGAATAAACTGCGATTTATATTTTGCCAGGCCACAAAAACATGACTGATTGAAAAGAATTGAGGCTTGCCTTAGGCCCTTAAGTAATAGGCACTGGTCATTTCTTTTTTGTCTTCTGACCTTGTATTCCATTTCTCTTATCACCGTGTCAATTGTTAGGGAGAGAAACGTAATCAAATGCTTCGCACCCAATTGCAACGCCTTAGGGAAGGTAGTCAAGTCTTATCTGGTTCTTCACAGGCTGTTGAGAAGGTGAAAGTTTTCTTGACTTCCTTCTCTGAAATCATTCAATTGGTCAAAAGGTTATAATTTGATATCTTGTTATTAATTTGAGGTTTTCTTTTGGCTGACATGATCATCTTTATTCTGTTTGCATCTATGCATAAATAGCAGCTCAGAAGCATGAATATAAATTATGGGGCCAACAACGGTGATGGGATCCGTGATGTATAACAAGTCGAGCACACATGCTCTCCTGTAAATTAACAAAGATTCATCCTCTGGTGGATCATTCCCATGCTTTCATGTTGTTGCAGTTCTGAAAATTCAAATATTCACTAGGCAATCTTAACAATGTACCTTTGTATAGTTTCATTATTAGGTTTTCAACACTTTCTGTGTTTTAAAGTTCAGTGAAAAGCAAAGTAGCTTTTGTTTTTTCGTAAGCTTTGTACGTATGTGACACTCACTACATTTGGTCTTCTTTAAATGAGCCTTGTGAAATCGTGGCAGTGTATGATGATATGGATTCCTAGTTCATCCTTACAAACGGGTTGAATTGATCGAAACATAAATTATGGTTCCAATTTGAATATTATTCAGTTATGGTTTTATTATAAATATAACTTGTTAAAACTATCAAATTATCGCTTGAAGGTTTCGCCGAGTCAATCCCTGGTTCGATTTTTGTTAGGGTCAAATGTAAGTTTTAATGAATTAACACAAGGAAAATATTTACGCGCAAGAACACGTGACAAATGACAACAGGGTTAAGAAGAAGGTGGAGCATCTTTTGATTTGGGAGTGGTAACCTTTTATTTTAAATTTCATTGCCAGAAGAACAAGAGGACACACGAGATTAACATTACAAGCAACAACAAATTATTTAGCATAGTCAATGGATACATTTTGTGATACTATATTTTCCTAGGGAAACTATTTTGGTTCCATTTAAATTTTGTTTGAAGTGCTCTTTAAACATTGCAAATCCCATATGCTGAAAACTAGAGCTATCATTTAACTCTGGTCTCAAGCCATTGAGAGCATGAATTACTAGATCAAGATCATCAATAGGATGATGGCAAATAAGAGCAAGTTCATTAGCAATTGCCTTAATAGAGTGAAGGTAATTGCTCCTTGTGAAGGTACTAAGATGATCCTTTAGCAACATTATGCAGGATTGGGACCAACAGGTAAAGGCTCGTTTGAGTCTAAACCATGATTGCAAAGGCATCGTCATCAGTTCACAAGAACCAAGAGTAGTGTGATTGGTTTTGGCGTACCCAATAGGAATAGCCACGGTATCAACACCTTCACTGATTTTGGCATCGATCTAGCCAACGAGGAGAGAGCGAAACTGTTTGTACTAGGCAGGATAATTTTTGCCATTAAGTTTGATAGTAGATGAACAACATTAAAATGAACAGATCTTTTGGATCATAAGAGGGAGTTTTGTTGGGTGAGGTGGAGAAGGCCATTGGATCAAGTAGAGACTTCTAATGCTGTAAAATTTAATTACACAACATTACGTAAAGATTATGGGAATATAGTTTCTCATGTTGTATGATATAAAATTTTGTCTCATGCACACACAAAATATTGAGTGGATCTCACTCAATTTTTTGTGTGTGCATGAGATAATTTTGTCTTATGCAATATAAATATATGTATATATATATATATATATATATATATATATATATATATATATATATATATATGAGGTTGGATCCTTTGATACCAGTATTAAATTTAAAGTTTGACACCTTATCTGAGAGTCGTTAGATCAAAAAAGATCAATGGTGTCACATGCTTACAAATCAGAGTCGTTGATCTTTTTTGATCTAACGGCTCTCAGATGAGGTGTCAAATTTTAAATTTGACACCGATGTCAAATGATCCTACCCCATATATATATATATATATGTTATGGACCCATATAAGGGGCCCATTAAGTGATAGGCCCAAAAAGGGGCAATTCAAGATCTGAATCAATTGTAATCACGAATAGATATCCATCAAGGATACTAATCCTAATACGACAACATAGCAAGCAGGTCTGGGCCCTTACCACAGGCACCAAAGGCCCATCCACGCTACCCACAGGTAACCTCTATAAATACAAGGTAAACCCTAAAGGTACGGTACGCTCTCTCTTACTGTTATGTTGTCACTATGCGCACGCACACACCCCATTGGCTAACGCCGTTATAGTATTCTGTGCATAGTGATTTGTTTGACTCAAGGGTATCTCCTTGATAGATACCTTGGAGAGGGCACTAGATCCAAAAGTAACATACCAGCCTATTGGGCTGGATATCTCTGTCCCAAGGACAGAACATTGGCGCCGTCTGTGGGGAATTCTTCTCTGAATTTGAAGTTTCCACTAATCTGACGAACGATGGAAATCAAAACAAGGAGCAGCAGCCAGCAGCCACCCCAAAACCAGAACCAACCGCTGGATCCAGTTCTGGAAGAGGCAAATCAGCCTCAACACCAGCTAGGAACCGATGTGGATTATGATCACGTCCATGTCAAGGAAGATGTCTCAGACACCGCTTCCACTCCAGCACGTTGTGATAGGGGTCCTGATCCAATCATGGCTCCAGTAAGGAACAACCCTCCCCAGCACCCTGGGGATCTTGCTTTGCGTATTGCCCAGTCAGCCGATCCAGATACTCGGTTGGCTCAAAATGCATTTGCTTCGATTATCTAGCGAATGGAAGAGTTGGAAAATCGCAATAACCTCCAGCGGCAACAAGATTTCCAAACAATACGATAGGAAAGTACCAGGGGAATGCGAGACCTGGAACAACGATTAATGGGGTTAACTGGAAGAAATGAAGGCCAGGATGCCAATGGCCGGGAAGGAAATCGGAACTCGGTTCATCAGAATCGGGTTATAGAGATGGAAAACCGTGAAAGGCCTAATCCGGCGAACACGACAAATCCGAACTGGGAAAACCAGGTTTTAGAGGGACAAAACACTCCTCTGCAGCCCATGATCCAAGACGCTTCAACAGAGGCAAATGGGAAAAGACACCAGGATGGAACTTGTCCTCGCCCTGATGAACAGATAGTTAGAGGGCGGGTGGAGTCAGGTGCCTACAGAAGAAAATACAGCAGCGGGCAGTATAACAACATCCCCTTCATTGGGGAGATTTTGAATGCACCCTTCCCAGAAGACTTTGATTTGGCACGACTCCGAAATATGATGGAAGTCAAGACCCACAGTTCCATATTTATGCTTTCGATACGGACATGTACATCCGAGGAATAGACGAGCCTCTTATATCTCGGATATTTGCCATATCCCTGACGGAGGCTGCACAGGCATGGTTCTCTACCTTACCTGCTAACTCCATTGGGTCTTTTGAGGAATTTGGGAAAAAGTTCCTCTTAAACTTTGCAACAAGTAAGAAACACCAGAAGTCCGAGTTCTCACTTGGAAAGATACATCAACAACCCAGAGAAACCCTCCAGAGATACCTCAATTGGTTCAAGGACGCTGCATTGCAGGTGCCGGGTTTGCAAGAGAATGTCCACGTACATCTCATTGTGGCTGGTTTGGATGGTACATCCAGGCTAGCCAAGTCGGTCTATAAGGACCCGGTGAAGACGTTGGAAGAGTTCAGAACTCGTTCGAAAAAATACCTTGAGCTTGAGCAAATGGAGATTGCCAATGCGCAATCTGACGAGGGTAAAAGAATTAGCCCAAGAAGGAGAAGCTCGGCCCCGAAAGGAAAGGAACAGGTTGATAATAAGAAAAATGACTCTAGGGCCCGAATCCCGGATGGCCGGGATCGAGTTGGAAGATATGAGAAGTACACACCGCTGAATGCGCCACGCTCTCAAATCTGGAGGGGAGTGGCAATGACGGAAATGAAGAAGGTAGAAAGACCTCGGCTCATATTCGACAGAGGAGGTTTGGACAAGTCTAAATATTGTGCATTTCATGACGGACCGGGTCATACTACTGACCAATGCTGAGATCTCTGAGATGCTGTGGAGAAATTTGTTAGAGATGGAAGGTTACGCCAATACGTGATCAAAACCCAGGGTTCCAAAAATAACAAAAGGAAGTCGGGAAACATAAATAGAAGTAAAAGCCCGGTTCCTGAAAAGAAAAATAAGGAAGAAAGGAATCAGAAAAACGATTCCAACCATGGCGAGTTCCCCGAAGCCGAATTTGACTGCAATGTAATTAGTGGAGCCCTGGGAGAAGGAGGAGACACTGTAAGTGCCAGAAGAAAGTATTTGAAAGAGGTACTCTCCATTCGGGACCGTCCTAAGTTCAAGGAAGACCAGAGCAAACCAGACCCTCCCCTTTTGTATTTCACAAAAGAGGACATGCATGGTGTGTTGCCAGGACATGTAGACGGGTTAGTCATTGCAGGAACCTTGGTAAATTGCGGGGTTAAGAAGATTTTCGTAGATGCAGGGAGTAGTGCCGACATCATACTCTGGGACACTTTCAAAAAGATGAACCTGGATGAGGAGGACCTCAAACCTTGCAAAACGACTTTGATAGCTTTTAATGGAGAGCATACACCTCCTAAAGGCTACATAGACCTCAGGTTGACCTTGGGAACAAAAGAAGCATTCAAATAAGAGCGGGTCAGATTCATAGTGGCTGATTTCCTGTCCGAATATAATATAATTCTGGGAAGACCAACCATACACCAGTGGGACATGCTGGTTTTTAAAAAGCACCAGAAAATAAAAATGGTGAGCAGTAAGAATGAAATAATTACTGTTTGTGGAGATCAAAAGGAGTCCAGGTAGGGGTGTTCGCGGTCTGGATTGGATCGATTTTGAAACGAAAAACCATCCGATCCAATTCCTTCGGTTTGGTCATTACATCATCCGATCGGTTTTATTTTTTTTTCAAATTCGATCCAATCCGATCCAATTTTTTTCGGTTTGGATTGGATCGGTTTTCGGTTTTTTGAAAAGCCAAAAAAACAAAACTTATAAGAATTATTTTTAGAAAAAATGAGGATGTTTCAAAACATTTCAAACGTACTTAACTGATTAGTGGAAGAACAAAACTTGGGGGACTAAACAATTAGTGGCAAATCACTAAAATCTTTTAGAAATCATATGCTAATAACGTTTACAAATAGAATATGAAAGATGCAATTTATATTATTCACCACCATAAGATTTGTATAATAGAAGAAAGAAAAAACGAACCCAAAAAATGAATCAGAGCGAAACAACGAAAAATACAGTTGTAGAGTTGTATATACAACATTTTAAAAATAAGTGCAGAGCAAAATAAATCAATGGGCAATGACTTTCTTTTATTTTGCTCTGTGTATATATATAACGAAAAACGAACGCTTAGAATGAATTTTATTTTTTTTTATTTTTAAAAAAGCTCTCAACATAGATGAAATACAAAAACAAACCGTGAAGACCAATGGGCAATGACCTTAGTTGTGGAAGAACATAAGTGCAGCAATGTTGAGGAAGCGACGACTGAGGACAGCGAAATAGACAGGAAGATGCAAATGATATGGTGGTGAGAGACTGAGAGAGCAAAACGACGGCAA